CGTACGCACAACTTAAGAACAAATCTGTGCGTACGAACGGTTCTTGCATGAGGCCCAATAAATCTAAAGAACCCAGCAGATTGTGTTGAATCATAAATACAAACATTTTTAAACTTGTCAACAGGCATTGAGGTACTCCATTTAAAAAAACATTACTATGACTTTTTAAATGAGCTAAAAATAGCAATTTTTTACCATTCAAAGAGATAAATTTTATGGTGATAAATTAGGGATGCATTGCCTGGGGAATGCATACTCTCTCTCGACCAGCACAGATATGGAGAGCCATGCTGACTTCTCTGTACACAAAAATTGTCCACTATCCTCAATATTTGTCTGACTAGTACTGGGTGGTATTGATCATTTTCATACCCCAGTATAACTTTTAGAAAATACCGATGTACTGTATATGCTGTTGGGGGCGGAGGGGTATTCCTGTGGCATGTTGATTAATAATTAACAGAGAAATGGCTGTTTGTGAGCATATAATGTTGAACAAATCAAAATAGTCCAACTATGAGCCAGCCTCACTTCCAAGGTTTTTATTTATGTATTTATACACCCTGCTCAGAGGCACGGCAGATGGGGGTGTGGWTGAGGTGGTCTGAACACACRTCAGTAAGAAAATGGGGCGTCTTCTGAAATGTTTATGTCCCAGTTTTCAATGCAGCCWAGTGGAAATTTGGTGCTCCACTGTATGTGACTCAAACAGTCATAAATGTTACACACCATCACCATATTTTCATACTGCAGTATAACAAAATACCCTCATATCGCCCAAGCCTATCTCTGATAGATGTCTTCAGTTTTGCTATAACAAATGAAATGATAGCTGTATTTTCTGACAAACCTGGCCAGCAGCTCTCAGAGAGCAGCACACTAAAGCCACTTTTCATAAACGCCCACGAAATTCTGAAAAATCTTACAATCTTACAGCCCAAACACTGTAAGAAACTAGTCCTGACTGGGGGACATGTACAAGACGGGGTCTCAATCAGTGGTGTAAGTAGAAAAACAAACAAAAACAAATTTTGTTAGACAAAAAATATCTTAAAGTTAAACCTTGTGAGGTTAAATTGACATGTCATGAAGATAAAATACAAGTATTTTTCTCTATCTCATAYTGAATATTATTGTGTCTTTAAAGTTTAACTTACACCACTGCTTTAATGGGGGAAACAAGACTGCAGACACATAATAGGCTACATACAGACTACAGATCATATTTATTGTTTAAAACAAGTGTCTATAAAATACCCTGATCAGTGCAAGCATGTCTACACTGGTTTATAACATTATGCACGTAAAAAAATAGAGTAACTGTCAGTTTTAAAGAACAAACGTGTGATGGCAGTGCTCATAGAAGCAGCGGTACAACACTCTCTGATTTGATGCTGTTTATTTGTGTTTTTGTTGGTATTAGGGCTGTGTATTGGCAAGAATTTGGCGATACGATACATATCATAACAGAGGGGTCACGATACGATATATCCCGATATATTGCGATACTGTAAGCAAGGCA